TCCGCAAGACACGAGCAGGGCTCGTATCGCGCCGCTGGCGCAGCTCGTCTTCCTCGTCGTCCCATGCGGGAAAAAAGGTGTCAGACTCATAGTCGACCGCATCCTCAACGAGGCCACTCGGCACTGAAAGCGTGCGCGGAGCGCGACATTTGTACTCATCGAGCCTAGGATATAAATTCCCTGGTGCCTCGGACGCACTGTCCGACGTAGCACCGGGTGCGGGGGACGCAGTTGGGCTCTGCCCGTGCTCGCTGTCTGGACCAGCAAGACTTGATGGTTTTCGTGACGTAAACACTGGGCTCATTGAGCAAGGAAGTTGTTGAACTGTTGTTAAACTCCAACAAATTGAGTTGCAATGTCTAACGGACACGCGAGCATCATTGAGGCAATAATCGATTGGAACTATAAAAATTCTAATATCAGAGGTGGGTGTGTCACACGAGATGAGCATGGTGTGACCACACCCAAACAAGAATACGGCACGGGGCTAGGTAGCCAGTAGTTATGCATGTATTTAGATTTTACCATATATATTCAGTATATCTAGGAAAATCTAAACTCTTAAAAATAAGGATAATTAAAATCAGTTTGGAATTTAAACCGAAGAGTCGATTAGCCTTGGGTAGGCAAAAATCACTCTTGGAGTAAGCGGATTGCGATCCGCTAACTCATACTTGGTTCTTGTAAAGAACGAAAAGTCGGTGACCTAACGTACGCTTCCTCAAGCGTTTTGCAACGGCAGCCCCGCTGCAGCTATGGCGTCCGCCATGCTAAGTATCTTGAGTACATCTAGACGCCCTACTCCCTTGGAAACCACGTTAGTGTACGGGTCCGTACACTAAGAAAGTCTAGGGTACTAACGTTAATGTAAGCAAAAAATCTGTGTATGGTGCTTCATATAGAAATTTATCGAATGCATAACTCTCAAACTGTGACAATAATTGACGTTTTTTGTTCGCACATGTTTCGTTCGCTTTTCCTTGTCCCTCGCATCGTACTAGTGAGCGAATGTGTCCGTTCCATAATTCAGACAAATGAAGATAGTGGATAGATGATCCGATCCGTGCAGTCTGCATCTTTCAGCACCATTCGTTAAGTTCTAACCTTCTTGCTCTTCCTTTCTTTAAATGATGGTGAAAATAGACTTTTACCGAGCTTGACAAATCTTAGAGTTCATAACAAAACTTGCGCCTAATCGCCGCAACGAAAAGCACGGTTGTATTGAAGAAACTTAGTACCCTTCTGTCCGCTATTCTCGTTTGAAATGATGAGGCACAACAGAACTCAATTCTTTCCCAGTAAGGTGCCCCGCACCTACTGGGTGGTCTCGTTTCCCCGCGACAAACCAGACTGGTTAGAGGCGGGACGTCGGTTTGACGAACCTTTACGCACCATACATAGGGGACAACCAGTCTGAAGGTGACAGGCGTCTCCACAGACAAAACAGAGTCGGTGTCTACACTCTGTTCGGCAGCTCAGAGCTCTCCCTCCTCTTTCTCAGCATAGCTGAGATCCATTAGCTCAGGCCCGCTCGACGAGCTCTTAAAGCGTGCATTACAACCAAGTCGCGCCGACTTAAAGTTAAATTCGGCATTCAATAGCACATTCACCGCTTCTTCGAAAGAAGACGCATGCACATGGAAGACTTCTTTTCTGGCCACAGCAGTGCGGAGGCCTTCCATAAAGACGGTCGCTGCGGCCGCCGGGGGGATGTGGCAGGATTGCCAGTTGTTATGCATATTACTATATTCGTTAGATTTTGTTATACTAGTTAGGTTTTGCTAATTTAATGAGGTATTACTATATTATGAGAAAATTCAAGGGTTTAAATATTGGCCGCTCTGCCGCAACTAAACCCATTAAATACAGTTTTCAATTTTGAACAGAAGTGCTTGATTGCTTTGGTTAAGGTTTGGTTTCTTGGAGGTAGCGGATTGCGATCTGTTACACTCGTATTGGTTGACCCTAGCTTAGCTTCCTTTAAGCAAAGAGCTACGACAGGCCGCTACACTTGGTAGTACTTGTTGGTCAATTTACGCCTCAGTCGTTACAACTGATCATCTGTGAGGATGGAGAAATACTCCTATTTGTCCTAGGGCAAGCAGGACTGGCTTTATATATTGATGTATCTGGTGGGCCCTGAGGGCGTAAAGCACCTCGTTGCGCAAGGGCCCGCCTGGATGCGTTCGCAAGTTATTAAAAAGCTCTGTTAAGCACGTACAGCAGAAGCTGTCGACGACGGATGATTCCATCCGACCCAGGCCGCTCATGGTGAGCGCTAAAATTTTCGAGAGTAAGGATGGAGAGAATCTCCTTCACTGGATGAGAGAGGCCAAGATGGCTATGGCATCCGCCATGCTCCAAAACGAGCAACAGCGCTTGGGCCGAGCGCAAGAACGGGCACTAACGTGCAGTGCTTCGGTTGAAGCTGCGTTTCCCTCCTGGAAGGAGTTGAAGCGTCAGCTTTTGCAAGTGTTCTCGCCGCCTAACAGCAATATCGCGTGCGATCGCGTTTCCTTGCCTTCCAACAGGGCAAGAAGGAGTTGTTTGACTTTGTCCAAGAGCTGAGCACTCTTATTGCCGATCGGTGGCTTCTTGCTACGATGTGGCAACACCACTATGTGATAACACTAACTTGTGTAAGATACACCTATTTACGGTCGCACAATCTTGTGCGTCCCGCTCTTTCTTTCAAGGGTACGTGTAACCCCGTTTCAATTGATTTTTGAGCAGAAAGAGAAAAAGAATGGCCGCACAACTGTTGGAGACTGAACCATATCCTTTCCATCGATCAAAGTTCTTATAGATGGCCAGGGTTTGTGGGTTAATGACAAAGTCGATCCTCTGCGTGAAGGAACCCAGTATGTGTTGATAAGAGAGGGGGGACAATCGGATGCTGGGCTCGTAGATGGCGAAAAAGTTTTATCTGTACTTATCGGGGTTCAGAGAATCACCGAAGATGATTTTCTGTCTTTATTTTCACATGTCTTGCAGAGATTTTGGTAATCGTCTCGTGACTGTTTTTATCGAATGACACGTTCAAAAAATGACTCTTTTTGCAAGATGCAATTGATCCAATGTTACGAGAACGAATACCTTTGAGATGCTGTTGAAGGAAGACTTAATGCGCTGAGGTATTTTGCCGGGGCTTGTTGCCTGTGAATCCGATTTTTCGGTCTTAGGCAGGAAGAGAATGAGAATTGGGAGGCATTACGAATGTCTTTATGAGGTAATAAACGAAGCATTATTAATTGATTAGAAAACTAACCTTATTACCGTCCATAAATGCCTTCATTTTGAATTTTGGGAATTACCAATATTACAGAAGCGTGTTACCAACATTTCGCGCCAGATTATATGGCGTGCCGACTTAAACGTGCCGCCGACGACGAAGGCACATCAACGTCCAAACGACAAGCATCTTGTCAAAGTAATGCATGCTGCTCTCAAGTCATTAACTCATTTGCAAACCTTCCCACAGTGGTGAACATTCGCGCTTTAAGCCTGGAAGACCGCGCAGATGCCGTTATCTCTAGCGGAAAACAGAGCTGGACGCTTGCCAACTTGTCCAAGTGGCGTCATAAGACGCTTAACATAGGTAGCGATTCAAATCATCTTTGTTCAGAAACATCAAGCAAGGAAATTTTACGGCAGCGGCAACGTGCTTACCGTCATTGGTGTATCGCCTCTTCAAAAAAACATCACAACATTTAGACACGATACACAAGATTTGAGCTTTTGCCTAATTTATCACAATCCAATTATTCTAATCATCTTCATCCATATCGCTGTCGTAGAAGATACTCTGGCGAATATTATGAATTCGTTCTTCTAACTGCTGCTTCGCCGTAATCGGATCCTTTCCTGATGCGTAGGCTCCTCCACAATCATCCAGCGGATTTTCTGGCTCTGGTCCTTCATACGTCAACACCTTGTGCAAACTCAAGTAGTAAGCCAAAAAAGCAGTTGAGAATTTGTCTGTGCCTCCAAGCTCGTCCAGACCCTGTACCATTTTCTCTACCTTCTGGTTATGAACCAGGGCAATACAAGGGATCATATACACTCCGAGCTTATCGACAAGATACTCGGCCTTTTCAGCATTGATACGAGCAAACTTTGTCTCAACATGGTGCGGTGCCAGACGCGTTAAGTGACTGTCCACAAGCTGGCAGAAAGCGTTGGCCGGAGTAAAAAAGTGGACTACGACCTTGTCACTCTTTTTCATAACTTCGAAAAAATCATGTGTATCGCAAATGGTGGAATACTCTCCATGTCCATGAGCCCGTAACTCTTGTATCTTACGCGCTTTCTGCTGCATGGCCTGCAGCCGCTTCTCGCGAAGTCGCTCTAGCTCGTCATCGTCAGCCTTCTCGAGTTTTTTAATGGTTTCGTCCAGCTTCTGATGTTTCTTATCTAGTGTTTCTAGCACCTTTTCCCCAATCAAGCTCGCGACCATCTCGGCCTGCGAAGTAGAAGTCGACGCCATAGTGCCAAAGGTCAAGAATGTGTAATGATGCCGACCTTTAAGATTTTTTTGGAAAAGCATTAAATTTACTTTCAAATTTTGAAAGTTGCCATTTAAGTTCGAGTTGGAAAGGTACTAGTTAACTAATATCACCTCATAAAGCTCGCTCATTTTCATAGTCTATGAGTCGTTGGATAAGCTCCTTCTTCTGGCCTTGTGTAGACAGATCCCGCTCTTTCAACTTCTCCTTCAAAACTGCCGGCTTCAAGGCTTTGATCGCACGAGCATCCAAAGGTTCGTCTTATAATCAACAATAATTAGTCCGATACATGTTTGCCGGTTACAGCTCAATTTTCAACTTACCGTCATCCTTGACCTGCACACTCTTCTTGCTCTTCTCGCGTTCAGCAGCAGCTACATCGATTACAACACAATTAGATAAGCAAGATCTTAATAGTCTAAGCTACATACCTTCTTCTTCCTCCTTCTTGCGCTGTTCAGCTTCTTCACGGCGACGTTTAACTTCCGCCAATCTGGCCAAATCCTTCTTAGCCTCGTCCGTTTCACCAGCCAAGTGCTTTTTCAAGTAATACGCTGCTGCTCGCTCCTTCTCAATGGCTTCACGCTCTCGTCGACTAAGCTGTTGAGGGGCAGCATTCTCATCCATATCCTTAGCTTTCATTACTTTATTCGCCGTTTTCTTCGCGTTTGGATTCTGCGTCTTGGCAACAGCCGCAAAGCCAACCTTTTTCTTTTCCTGCTGCAATACCGGGCCATCTGCGCTGTTGCTAAAACCAAATAACGAATTGGTCTGCACACGTTCAAAAGCCACTAATTCTTCTCCTTCTTCTTCTGAGCTTTCATCATTCTCTGAGTTGCTACCTTCCTCACTATCGTCACCACGAGTTTTACGCTTCTGCTCCTCCTGTTCATCACGCAACGTCATCTCCTCCAGCGATGTCACAAACTTGCGAGTTCCACCCTTTTCGCGCTTCTTGCGACCCTTGCCGCCTGCGCCGCCCGGTTTACCACCAGGTTTACCAGCATCCCGCATTCTGACTGCTAAGTGACAAGACGATTGGCGTCGAGAATGACAATCACTCTGTGGGAATACGAAATCTCTCTATAAGAGCAATCAATCTTAACTTCTACTGCTTCATTCGGGAACTTTCCCTTTTGATAAACGAAAATGGTAGGATGCGGTATTCGTCTTGAAATTATCATCGATTGATTCTGATACTCACTCATGCAATGCCTCTTAGATATGCTTTGGAGATTTTTGCTTACCTCTTCATGTGCTAGTGCTTGCGCTTATTATCTCGCAAGCATTGTGGACATATGTTCGCACTAAAGTGTTAGGCAAGGGCGAAGAAAAAATTCCTAAAAATGTAGATTCTCTTGATAGCAAGATTTGTATTGGTACTATTTGCTGACTTATGAGGGTGTTTTTAGAGCCGTGTGATCCACGTGACGTCAGAAAAACAGTTTATGGAACTTATTGGTAAGGACAAACCAACGAAACGTTCGGTCGTCGTGGACTTTTCAGCTTCGTGGTGCAGCCCGTGCCGCTTCATTGGTCCTGTGTTCCATGAACTAAGTGCCAAATACCCAAGCATACTTTTTCTCAAGGTAGACGTGGACGAGCTCAAGTCCGTCAGTAAAGCCTGTGGTGTTACAGCTATGCCAACGTTCCAAGTCTTCCGTAGTGGCATCAAGTACGATGAGATGCGTGGGGCAGATAAAGCTGGATTGGAAGCACTTATAAAGAAGCATAATGTTGAGATGGAGCCAGCAAAAGAAGAAATACTAGAACAGTATGCTGAAAAAAAGTTAACTTCGAAACGTGAGGACGGGTTGCGCCAGCGTAAGGTGCAGGTGATAAATGTCACGACGGAAGTACAGTGGGAGCAACTAATGCAGCAGAACCAAGAAACAAACAAGGCGGTGCGTATGATATCCAAATTGCATTGTGATATCTTGCCACATCTACGATTTTTATTGATTCGATCGCAATTACACTGACGATACGTTTTGTATGTTCATTATTACTAATAGTTGGTCGTGGACTTCTGGGCCACGTGGTGCAAGCCGTGCCTAGAAATCGCGCCATTTTTTGAGGAGCTATGTAATCGATATCCTGCTGCTGTTTTTGCGCGCGTGGACGTTGACGAACTTGAGGTACGACACTTGTCACCTGAGGCTTCAAGTTATAACATATGCTTTGATTTTGCTTTCAGGACGTCGTGGAAGACTTTAACGTTTCGTCGTTGCCTAACTTTAAGGTATTTAAGGGTGGAAAGATAGTCGATGAACTCAGTGGGGCTATAAGGGGCACCTTGGAAAAGATAGTGGCCAAGCATGCCTCAAACTGATACGCGTTTTATGTTTGTCTTAATTAACGCAATTTTGTAACTCGTTTCGACGAATTTTGTTCACGGAGTATTTCTTAATAAAAAAATTGATTGATAGCATGGAAAAATTACATTTCTCCTGGAAAATCAAATAACGATCAAAGTCTAAGAGTTTCTTACTAGATTTGCCAGTTTGCTGTGATAGACAAAAGTACGCTCAAATAACACTATCCTAGAAAAATCCAAGCTATTTACTGTTAGCTTAGCTTAGCTTTTTGCTTGTTAGCTTAGCTTAGCTTAGCTTAGCCTGAAATATGGCCAAGCTACCAAGCTACTAGCAAGCTACTAGCTAAAATAGCTTTCATGCTATTTATAGATTTATAAAACCGCAGTGGTCGAATATAAATTTCTGTATTTTTAATTCAGCC